CTATGTTGTAATCTGTGCATGTGTTTGGAGAGATAACCTCTCATGTTTTAATGGGAGCTGTCTTAGTGAGAAGCTTTCCTCTAAGGGCTCAGCACCCAACACCGCTCAGAGAGAAGAAAACAAGATTAAGTGGCACCAACAAGACCAAAACCAGATATGAGAAAGCAACAAAACCAGTCAAAGACTGCATCTACTCCACCAATCAGGAAAAAGAGAAAACAATGTACAACGAGCTATGCAGTTAAAATTGGAGGTGACAAAAAAAATTGGAGGTGACAATAAAAGAAGACTAAAAAGGCAGGAAAAAGCAAAGCAATGCAAGGTTCACAGCTCAGGGAAAGAAGATGAGAGGGAAAAGTGTGAGTAAGAAGTAAAAGTGCAAGAGAAAATGTGTAATCATGAGATTTTAAAAGCTAACTGTAAAGAAGAGGAACAAAATAAAAGCATGCTATTTTAAGTAAAAACTACACTAAAAAAACATAGTAAAAGGAGCAGGGAATGGAGGGTCATGCCTTTAATCCCAGTACTCAAGAGGCAAAAGTAAGCAGGTTTCTGTGAGTTCCAGATCAGCCTGATGTATATAGCAAATTCCAGGGTACAAGGTGAGACCCTACCAAAAAAAAAAAAAAAAAAAAAAGATTGGGGAAGATGCTTCCGGGTCCTCTGATCCTGAATTTCATGAACTCTCAGGGCACAGTGAACTGGATCTATTATAGTTCATCTTCCTGCCCCTGTGGTCCACAGAAGAGTCTGGCTGGGCAGGAAGAAGCCAAGACTGCATTCATTCTGCAAACTCCTCTCTACACACCAGAAACTGGATGCTGGTAGCAATGAACTTTGTAGCTCATCAGTTGGGCAGGTTTCTGCTTGCTCCGGCAGCTCTCCAGTTGGGCCTCCAGAGGTGGTGAATGGCCAGGCTGAGAAGTGTCCTTCAGTGTTGTGGGGAAACAAGGGAATCAGAACATTGAGTTCTGCACTGAAGGGAATTACCCTTGGGAACTAACAGTCTCAGTACTTTTAGATCTAGGCCATCAATAAACCACCCCGTGTGGGGGAGGATACAAAGACTGAATGCTTCCCTGGCCATGGACCAGAGCTGTCAACCTTCAGAGTAACCCACACATGGGGGACCACTGCCCCCACTGACAAAGTGCCTTTTGCCTGAAAGTCTCGTTGAGCTCCCTACAACTGCCTCTTGTATTTGTCTCCCATCCAGAGTCTGCAGCAAACTGTTCTCAGTTCCCTGATTTGTAATCAGTCTTGTTTCCAGGCCCCCAGAGTCTTCCTCACAAGATGGTGCTTGGTCATAAAACAGGAGGGGATGGAGGATGAGTAATCCAATGGAATTCTTCTCTATTACAGGCATGTCACAAGGGAATGAAAGACCAAACTTGGACATGGATCCCTGGGCTCATAAGAACTATGGATTTTTTCCTGCAACTAGGATCACCTGTCCATTGTAACCAGGCCTGCTGCCTGGGTTTCAGATTAGTTCCTCCTGTCACCTTTCTGTATCTCCACTTCCTGGGTGTCTCACTGCCTTTCTCAGTCTCCACAGCCTTCCTCTTCTCCCTCCTGAAAGCAGTCTCCCCATTACCCCTTCTGGCTACAGTCACATTAAGATGCTTCTGGTCTGCCGTTCACCCAACTTCCTGAGTTAACTGGTACTGTGATGACCTTGAGTGGGGAGGAGGTGTAACAGGGTGGATAAGACGGAGTTTTTGTTACTCTTTAATAGTTTAGGGAAACCAGCAGGCAGAGGAACCCCTTGTCTTCATTTTGGCCTTTCCTAAGCTTTACTGGATTTCATCAATAGTCTCTGGTAGTCCTGAAGAAAGGGGAAGAGAGTGAAGGAAGAAGGGGGAGGTAGAGGCGCCTTCCTTAACTAAGTAGTGCCAAGTTTCTGAACGAGAAGGAGGGGGAAACCCAGAATGAGATTTGAAAAGGCGTGTTTCTGATTGTCACATTCTGAACGCTGAAGAATGTGACATTTTCTCTCTCTGAAAGTATAGGCAGACATGATTTGCATTAGGCCATGACGTATATTTAGAGTTCACGTGTGTTACTTGTGGGTAAAAGCAAACATATATCTCTTTTTCTTCTGCCATGACAAAGTATCTAGATGAAAAAGTAGCTCCATTTAAAGTAACCTTACCCAGAGCAGAGCCTGCCACCAACCACCATTCAACATGTGTTGGGACCTGTAAGTAGTTATCTGGTTAAGCACTAAAGACTCTTCCTTTTCTTCCCCATTGCAGTGAACCTGACTGTCCTAGCTAATAATAATAATACTGACTGGCCCCAATGAAGCAATATACATAAGTATGGAGGGGCATATAATGAAAAAGTCTTTGGCTATTCAGTCAAAAAGTACAATATTCTCTAGGCTTATTTTATGCCTCATTCTTACATAACCCAAAGAGAGACCCAAAGATTATTTGATTGGTTTGGTAGAGAAATAGCTAAACAAAAGAAAATATGAATTAATATTCAACTCAAAAAACTAAACTGAACAAATAATTACTGTTTATATTATATTTGAAACTATTTATGTACACATTGTGTAAGATGAATATTAGTTTAACCAAAAAAAGTGGTTAAAAAATACATTGGGAAATACAACTTTGAACTGTGGCAAGGTGAAAAGTCTGAGAATTCTATATATCCCCCAAAAGTGTGAAAGCCATCCAGAGTCCCACACACACGTAGTCTGGAAGGCTAAGGCAGGGGCATGGTGCATTTGAGGCAGGGCTACATACCTATTAAATCCCTATATTAAAATGCAGTGTGTGAGCTGGGCGGTGGTGGCACACACCTTTAATCCCAGCACTCGGGAGGCAGAGGCAGGCAGATCTCTGTGAGTTCGAGGCCAGGCTGGACTGATAGCCTCCAAAACAATACAGAGAAACCCTGTCTCATAAAACAAAGACAAAAAAATGCAGTGTGTGAGAGGGGGAGCAGGGAGAACTGGACAAAACTGAGACAAAACTATTATTTAAGGGTTTCAGACACTAAACAAAAACAAGCAAAACTTCCTGAGCCACTTACGAAAATCTGCTGGCCGTTGACTAATAACAGTGGGAACTGGCAGTCTCTTGTCCCTCATCTCACCTCAGTTGATGAGAAAATTTTAGTTTTCCAGAGCAGAGCCAGCTGTGCAAAGCAATAGCTTCATACTCAGAGGGAACTAACCGGAACAAAACCCCATGACTGGCATTGTTGTATTAGTAAGAAACTGGAAAGAAACAGCCCCCATAGCTCTGCTAGCCAACGGTGTGGTGCATTCTGAGGCAGAGGCTGGAGGTTTTCTGTGAGGTTGAGACCAGACTGGTCTACACAGAAAGTTTCAGGACAGTCAGAGCTACGAGGAGAGACCCTGTGTTAAAAGACAAACAACAAAGTGTGATCTTGTTCCGGTGAATGTCCACAGTAGCATGTGTAGAGATCCTAGAAAATAGAGGAGCAGGGAGGGGCTAGAGACACTGCTGGTCTCTGACTGGCTGGGGATGGTGTCTGCTCATAGGAAACTCACCTGATGAAATCAAATGAGGGAATCTTCAAAACGACTGACCCATGGGGTTGTGTCTAATCGAGCTCTACTAACTGGGTAGGCGTCTTAGGGAGTGAACTCTCTTTAATCCAGTGTAGTTGACATTGCTTGCAGAGAAACTCTTCTGATTAAATCAGTTCTAGGATAATAACAATTTATGGGTAAAATAAAGAAAATCAATACTTGTTTAAATTATGTCTACTTTTCAGCGCATTCTAAGACATGAAAAGAGACAATCAATGTGACATCATAGTCATGAGGAAACTGGCCACTAGACAGTGACTCTGATGCTGGGATTGGGAACAGAATCATCAAAGCTGTGATTATAAATAGGTTTAAAGAAGTAAATGAGACATATTTAAAGAATTAAAGAAAAAACCATTACAGTAATGACTCACAAGTAGGAAATCTCAATAAAGAAACAGCAAGCATAAAAGGAGACTCCACTGGAAATTCTAGAGCTAGGAATTAGAATAAACTTAAAGAAATTGTCACTAGATGGTCTCAACAATAAATATGAATGGAATATTGAAAGGGATGAACTGTAAACTTGAAGATAGATTAATAGAAAGAATCCAGTCTGAAGAAGAAGAAAAACATATTAAAGAGGATTTCTATATAAGACAGCAGATTAAGAACCTCTTCTATGAACTCAATAAAAGAGAACAGACATGTGTGTGTGTGCGCATGCGCGCGCACGCCTGCCTATCTATGTGTGTTCACAATGAAGTCTACCCCCACAGCAGACAATACCTGTAAATGAACCTCCTGAGCCTGGAGAGACCTCTCCGAGGAAGCAGACAGGAGCAGCAATGCCCACAAGCGGCTCCTGAGTTGAGAAGCCATGCATCTTGTGCACACAGGAGCAGTAAGCTGGACCACCAAGGACTAGATGCACAATTGTAGTCTGCACAGCTGCAACAGCAGCTGGAGACTTTGGAACCAAGATGCCAGCACGACTGAGAGCAGTAGAAACTGATGTAACAGTTTCCACGCCTCCCTCCCCAACACGCTGCATCCATGGAACAATAAAAGTCAGGGCAGAAATTAACAGAATGGAAACGAAAAACAAATACCAACAGCCAATGAAATAGACAGCAGTTGCTGTTATTTTGCGTAAAAAAATAAACAAAAGAAGACCCCGTTTAATAAAATAAAGGTGAAAACCACAAGAGTTCACTATCTGCCACTGAACAGTGGATATTAAGAACATTCATATTGACTTCCTAGAAATGCAAATATTTGATGGTCTGAGTGAAAATACACTGAATAACACTAGTGGCTGGCACATTATAGGTGTCAGAGAAAGAGTGGGCGCAACACTGCAGTTACTTAGGAGCTGGGCGGTGGTGGCTCATGCCTTTAATCCCAGCATTCAGGAGACAGAGGCAGATGGATGTCTGTGAGTTCCATGTCACCCAGGGCTACATGAGAGTGAGCCAGTCTAAAAGAGAAACAGAGTTCGTGCCTTTGATCCCAGCACTAGAGCGTATATAAGAAGCTCGGTGTCTCAGGCTGGCAATTAGTCTCCAGCCACGTTGAGGACAGCGTTGCCCCAAACTTGGTAGAGGTGAGGGCTACCGGCCTGACTGCTTTGCTCTTCTTCAGCTTGAACCCTAATATTCGTCACTGGGTTCTTATTATTCACGCTACAGAGGTGGAGTGGGATAACGATGAAAACACATTGTAAACATATATGAAACTGTCAAAGAACACATTCTATTTAATTTTTAAAAGAGACAAACTGATAAAGGCTTTGAAATGAGCCCTGCCATTTTTTTTATAAATGACAGTTTCTAGATCTACTTGCCTCATCTGTAGGAAGGAATAGGTTTAGTGAGGATGAAATAAAGCAATACCTTGCAAAAATAATTCACCACCATTGATGAGAGTCTACCTTAGACTGCCGGTCTGTGGGGTATTTTTTGTTAGTAACTGATGAGGGAGGTCCCAGGCCACTGTGGGTGGTCCTGGGCTGTGTAAGAAAGCAGACTGAGAAAACCACGGAGAACAAGCCGGAAGCAGCACCCCTCCATGACCTCTGCTTTAGATCCAGCCCCGGGTTCCCGCTTGAGTTCTGCCCTCGTTCCCCCTCGGCGGTGGACTCTGATTGGGTCATGGCGGGCTCACAGCATGGTGATCACGGCCTTGGCCCTCATGTCTCCACATTCTGCCTGCTTTTGTCCCTGCTCTGCTTTCACTGTGGGCATTTATTGTCTGCTGCTGGTGATAGGCCCACCCGGCCCCACCCCATCCCCCATCGGTCATACTTTACAGCTTCTTTCAACTACTGGTTTGTTCCTAAATTGGATGTCAGATTATAAATTTTATGTTGTTGAGTGCCAGATTTAATTTGTTTCTAGTATCTTTGGGGCACACTGCGAGACTTAGAATCAGTTGGTTCCCTTCTAGGCTTAAGTCCAGCTAATTCGGCAACACACTCTACAAACACTACTAGGTGCTCTGTACCTTGGGAGATCTGTTTATTACAGCTGGTACAGGTTTTTTGTTTTTTGTTTTTTTCTTGCCTCTGAGACACAGGGTTCCATCTCTTCTTTTCCTGTGGATTTTCCCAAAAACTTTGGGCAGTTTCCTCATATAAATTCACCAATCAGCACTCAGTCCCAGATGCAAGATAGTTTCTCTACAGATACAGCTCTATCTTCAAACTAATTCCCCAGTGTTCTCTCGGATGCTGTTGGCTTCAAGAAGCATCCATCTTTTCCACTCAGCAAGGCGGCAGGGGTGACACAAAGTGGAGGAGTCAGCCAAGAGCCTGGGGTTCCTGTGGGACACATGCAGACCTTTGGGTGTCTCTCTTGGACCTCTGCTGGGGACTCAAAGGCAGCAGATGGGCCACCAAGGATGTGGCTGTTGGCACAAACCTTCCCCTCAAAGGAGATAAGAGACAGTTTATTCTGGACCATGGCCAAGAACACAGATGTAGGTTACCCCAAATTCCAAGCTCCAAAGTGGTAAAGATGACATTTTTGTGGTAACAGAAACACGAATCCATGGGTGCTTTAAACACACTGGTGGGATGTCAAAGCAAAGCTGGGCAAATTCAGCTACAGGCCTCAGTGCTGTCTGACAGCATTCGCAGTCACTGAGCTGATTGGAGACTGGGGATCTGCTTTTGCATTCCCAGGGTTTCCCTGATAGTCATAAAGATTTAGGTCATATGCAGAGGTGGGTAATAAATGGCTCTTAATGGGGCCAAAGATTCCCCAAGATAACTTGGCAGTTGATTTGCAACATTCCAACCTTTCCACATTGTTAAGGCTCTAATCAGCCTTTCCAAATGTATGTTTCTTTCTAGAAACTTTCCTTCACATGGGCCATTCTGGTTAAAATAATAACAGGGCGGGTGATACAGTGATGCTGTTAGGAAATGGATATAAACAATGTAAGTGGGAAATGCAGTGGCGGGTTACTTAGGACTTTCATGGTGGCCTGCATTTCTGAGCTTTGTGTTCTAGCACGAAGATCCATTGGAGGCTTCCTACGTGCATTGGAAAGATGAAGCTTGAGTTTGAGAAGTCTTGGTCTGGCCTTGGAGGGAGCTGAAGCTGTGGGATGAGTCAGACAAAGTGGCCGCAGTGATCAGCCCAGGGATGGAGAGGTAAAGGCGGGGCAGGAGGCTTGAGTGATGGAGAGATGCGGGATAGGGAGACATTCCGAGAAGACCACGTGTCACCAGTTAGGTGAACGTGAAGGAGCATGGTGGGGACGCAGGCTTCGGATGTGGGCAACAGGAGAACGTGGTAACACATTCACGGAGGCTTAAATAAGAATGGTGGCGGCACACGTTTGTGGCAGTAGGACCTCCCAGTGGTGCATGTTGCTGAGCGTTGGCAGTATGGCCTGGCTTTAATCGAGATGGAAGCAAGACTGTACTTTTGTATTTTAAAGGGCTGGTATGGCCATTTGACTTATTCTGACCTTCCCAGAACTGCAGGCGCAGAAGGCCATTTTTCAGCTTCAAGTGTTTTCCTTTCTGCTCATGGGGTTGGGTAAAATGTCAACCTTCTGTTCTTTCCTTGTGTTTTTGTTTAACAGACCCAGGGAACATTTGGTGCCTGCAGAACCTAAAGCACTTGCAAGAGCCGGGAAAGGATCGCAAATTAGCCTCAAATAAGGACAAATGCCCACTCAGCATGGAGAGGCACTCTTGAATCCCTTGGCTCCCTGGTTGCTTTATTGTCCATGTTTTCAGCTTGGCAGGCTGCCTGGGGGTTGAGGGGCTTCCAGGAAGCTGTGCTCATTTCTGTTTTCAGTTCAACAGCACACGAGCTAATTGTGAAGAAAGAAAGAAAAGGACCCAGAGGGTCATGGAGAGACACCCTGAAAGGAAACAGCAATAGAGCTAATAGGGAATGAGAGACGGAAACAAAGGATGGTAGGAACGGCGCAGTTAAACACAAAGGCACCGAATTCCCATGCAGCATGACCTTAGTGGGTCCTTTACCCGCTTCTCCTGGGCTGCTCTGACTGGAATTCTATGCTGTATTGATACCTAAGGAAAAATGCCTCTTTGCTTAGATTCACAAAGGCTTTCAACCTGCAAGACTGTTCTGACTAATGGGGCAGCTCTTCCTGGAAGCCAACATAGAGACAGTTCAAGGCACACTTGGGGTGCAGCAGGCAAAAACATGGAAAGCAGGGTGAAGTCTGCAGTGGATCCGGAATGATTTACCCTTGACTGCAGTCCTGATCTCTTCTGTTTCTGACGGCCTTTGAGCACAACACCCTCTTTCTTTCGGTTTTTCCTAACCCTTCAAGACCAGATCTTCCTGTCTTTTCTTTCTTTTGGAAGGTTTGGGGAAAGGGCCTCCATTAGTCAGGGCTGTGCCTATTTATAAAACTCCCCCAGTGGTTGCTTTCCTAAACACTTGCTCTCCCCATCTTTGTAGCTGATCTGTCCTTCACACAGGCCCTAGACTGAAAGGCCCAGGAATCACACAGCTAGGCTCCAAGCATCGGTGTGACATAGAAACACCCACTGCCCCTAAAACAGTAAGGAGGGAGCGTCACTCTTCTGTGTGCACAAGACTATCTCTCCAGTAAACTGCTGTCCCCCAAAAGATAACCCCCCTTACCGCCACTCTGGAACTCTAAACCTGAAAATTGGTAGCCTTGGGTGATTAATTCATTCATAAATTGTGTGTACTCTGCAATAAAACTTCACACACTCTTCTCAGCCACAAACATGTGAACTCCTGAAGGAATACCAGTGTTTTACCCTCCTTCAGCTGGGTGACATGATTTGGACTGGACCTTAGAGCCAAGTTGATCTCAGAGTTGGGCTCAGTTTTGAGGTAGCACTAGGCTTCTGGAAGGGTGTGGGGACTGCCAAGAAACTAGGGTGTCCAGGCTTCAAAAAATATTCCTGAATGCCCCCAAAAGGAGAAGTCAGAAAATCCCATTGTTCTCTTCAATTCTGTGACCTCAGCTCTCTCCATAATGCAACTGATGACATCCACTGTGGTGAGTGAGGCGCCACCAGAGGCCCTCAGCTGCTGAGGACAGCAGGGGCCATGGTCCTGCTCCAGAAGAAAGGTGAGAGGTGACATTGGGTGGTGTGCTTAGCTTGGCTCCATTTCTAGCAGAAAGAGAAAGTGGGGGGTACTGAAAGAGAAAGGGGTATCTGTGAGAACCAGTAGCCAGCAGTGCTTGGCTGTCCCTTGAGGGTGGCAGAATTAATTCCACTTCCCCTTGCTGGGGGAACTGAATATCTAATATAGCCTGGGTCTGGGGGAAGTAGACCACATGATACTGGTCCAGTGGTTATGCCAGGGCCCCAAAGGCAAGCCAGCAGCTGTATCTTCCTTTACCAGGCACAGACACAGACATGTTCCCTGTGTCAATGACTCAGCAGCAGGTAGAGCAGGTACAGTTCTAAGGTGAATGTTAGCACTGTGCCCTTCCCCAGTTTAACGCTTAACTCTGAACTCCCTCCTGATCTTACAGCCTCTGATCACTTTCATTTCTGGTTATTCACGTCACCTACATTGCTTACGTGACCCAGGACTGTTAGAGTATGAGAAACGTGCCCCTTAAGTTTATGTATTTGGACAGTTGGTCTCCAGTTGGTGGCATGGTTTGCGGGTTTATGGGACTTTCAGGCATGGGGATTTGTTGAAGGAAGCACATCACTGGGGGTGGGTTTTGAGGGTTTATGGCCCCACCCACTTCCTCCCTGTCTCTCTGTCTGTCTGTCTGTCTGTCTCTCTGTCTGTCTGTCTGTCTCTCTGTCTCTCCCTCTCTGTCTCTCTCTCTGTCTCTCTCTCTCTGTCTCTCTGTCTCTGTCTCCTCTCTCTCTTCTTCTTGCTCCTTCTCCCATGCCTTCACCACCACTATAGACGCTAAGCCTCTGAAACCCTAGTTTTCCCTAAGGGCATTTTACCACAGCTACAGGAAGGTAACTGATGTAGGACCTACTCCAGCATCTGCTCTCCCTGTTAGGCAGAAGCCATGATGGTGCCTGAGTTTGTCTCAATTGTAGTCCCTTTAGTTTCTATATCATTTGTATAATATAGACAACCTTCGGTATCCCTAGAGAATTAGTTGCACCCCTCATCACACGCAGAGATCTGAAAGTCCTCATAGTCAAGCCATATGTGTGTGTGTGTGTGTTAATAGTATTCTTCTATCACCTAGACCCATTTTCCCATATACTTTAACTCATCTCTAGATTATTAATAATATTTGACACAAGATGAATGAATAGTTTTATGTGCTTTTAAAGAAAATAATGTAAAGAAGACTTATTGCATGTTCAATAGGTGCAATTCTTGTTTTCCAAAGTGTTTCCTGTCTGTGCTTGTCCAAGTCTGCAAGTGTCGACCTCGGGGACACGGAAGGACACGTGCAGCTACTCTCCTCATGATTCTTCGCACATCAACTGTGCGTCTTTCTGTGCGTGAGGAACAGATTAACATCAAGCCGCGTGTTTAGACAGGCGTCCTGTTGGTGCCAACGACAGGAAGGTGGACGCTATCACCTCCCATTTCCTCCCAGCCCTCACATTCTTTGACACATTGCAAAAAGATCCAAAATAAAAATAACAGGTCAGAGTAAAACCTGAGCTGAGAAGGGGCCAGAATTCCAAATTAGTACGAAAAGGAGTCGGAAGCCTTCAGTGTTTCCGAGGCTTTTCCTTCCCGTCATGCATTACAGAGCAGCTGGGGCTTGCTGCTAACCGCAGCCAGGTGTGTCTGCTCTAATGAGCAGACACCCACTCAGAAAGAAGCTATGCACCACTAATTCAGATACATAGGAAGTTCAAGATATGACTGTTTGGAAGGAGAACACAAGAAATAAGATAGCAGTATTTAAGAATGGCAGGCTTGGACCTATGAAACACAAAGATTGGCTAGAAAAGAAAATTAAGAAGTAATGGCGTCAGATTAACATAAAGATGTCAAAATGGAAACAAGAAACATACTAGTCCCTAGGTGATTCAATTGCCCTTTAATTTTTAAATGATTTATTCATTTTCTGTGTATAAATGTTTTGCCTACATGTGTGTATTCACACCATGTGTGTGCCTGTCGTCCATGGAGGGCGGAAGAGAGCATCAGATCCTCCAGAGTGGAGTTACAGATGATTTTGAGCTGCCTTGTAGAGCCTGGGAGGTGTATGTGTGGAGTCCATTAATTTTACTTTATAGAGTGTTTACTCAGTGTCTAGCTGTTATCTGTTTGCAAAGTTGTCTTATGATTCTAGACAGTGTTTTGAATGTCGATGTTAATCTTGCCTGCTTATTTAGCTTTTAGGGCAATTAACCTCTCCATTAAAATGTGAGGACACTATCCAAGCTTTTGTTTTGTAGGATCAAAAGTGTATGGATTTAAGCGTGCAGATTTGTAAGTGCCTGTGACTTTGGTCTTCCTTTCACTCTGAATTCCTATCACAGGACAGCACTGGACAGCAGGGAAGAAGGCATTACGAGGCAGGGGGCATTCCTGCTCTGCTACAATATTTTTCACAGCCAACGCTATGCCAATGTTTGTACTTGCCAGAAGAATATTGATTTCTTAAGCCCTCCCTCTCATCTTTAAGACTGAAGTTTCTCATTAGACCACAAGGTGGCAGATTAATAGCAGGGGAAAGAAATCCAAGCTCAAAACCAACAGAGAAATGGTTCCAACTGAAGCAAAATGTAGGAGTGATCAAAGAAGATTCTGTCTCCACGCTGCATGTAAGGCTCCTTCCTTGATCAAAAGTTACATCTGCTAAACAAACTCACATCCTTTTCATCGTATTATCCCTTTGAAGCATGTGGGAGACTCCTTTACAGACTTACTAATGTTTCTGAACACAGTTTACTGGTATCGCCCCGATGAATGCCTGTCCTATCAGCTCTAGGTTCAACACCCACCAGAAAGGTCACGCTTTTGACCGCCATCAATCACTTGAACAATTACCACTGGAGGCTTCCTTTTCACACGCATTCACTGTCACAGCTGAGCCATGGCCCATCGTGAGAAACTGACGACCTTTGGGATTTCTGAAACAACTCCAACTGTTCCACTGTCTCCTGGGCATCCAGCTTTGTTCCCCCCCTCCTGCTGACGTCACTGCCACCTCCTTGGATGTCAGAACTGACAGTGACTTCATTGGCTGTGAGATGACGTGTGCATTCCTGAATGTGGCCAGTGGGGGCCTTTCCCACTTGGCTCACAACCTGTGCAGACACTTGCTAACTCAACAGGACTGACATTACTGCCGGGTCAAGTGTACCTCCTTTTTCATCTGTCCGGGTTTTCTCGTATCGTCTCCTCTCTCTGGGCTGCTCATCTGCATCTGTGTCTGGCAAGCATGCAGTCCATGCAGCGCTTTGATCAACACTCTTAGGTAGACAGCACCCTCCTACCTGACCCTATGCTAAGCTGGCTTGCATGGGACTCATCCCTTATAAACACTAGATTTCCACATGTCTGCTTTTCCCACTAAATGTCAGCTCTTTCACAAAATATTCAAGGACTGGGGTGGGTCCTGGCCAAAATGTTATTCCAAGTAAATATACAGAGGACATCAGGAAGGGACTACAATGTTGCATCTGGTATATAGGTAGCACCCACAAGGTTACAAGGCTTTGACTGAAAACGATGGTGTCAGGTGGAGAAAGCATTGACTGGTGTTGGTCTCTTTCTCACCAAAGACCTGCAGCGAGGAGAGGCAGCACAGTGGCTCCCCTGCACCCAGCGGGAACACCAGTCTGTAAGAGCAGGGAGAGGCTCGGTGGCTCTGTACTCCAACGAAGAATGGCAGGGGGCACTCTGTTTGCAAACACTGATCCCCTTCCCGCACCTGCCTGCTTTCTCCTGTGCCCTGTATCTGCTTGCCAAGACACAGTAGACAGAGACACCCCTGCATCTCAGCTTTCAATAATCCAGGACTCTCTTAACTTGGGGGTGGTGTCAACAGATCAGCTATTACAGTCATCAGTTGAACTAAGTGTAGAAATATTCTGTGATGTCTGAGGACAAAATCAGGAAAATTATACTGAATGATGCTAAAATATCATTAAAAGTTGAAATATCTCCCCTGGTCTCCTTTATGCTTCTTTTATTGGCTATCAGTGGGGTTATGTTTGCTATAATATGGCACAAGGTGAGACCTTTGGTGGGTCCCATGGTGGGTGAGGGACAGAGACCTACAGACATAACTTAAGTGGAAGGTTTATTGGGGCAAGGTAACAGAGTAAGGGAAGGGAAGAGAGAAAGAGAGAGAGACAGAGAGAGAGAGCTGTTTCCTCACAGAAATGGCAGAAAGAGAGAGAAGAACTGGGTGGAGTTTGCCTCTTTTTTTCCCCTCTTAATTTACTTTTTACATTCCAATCCCAGTCCCCCCCACCTCTCCTCCCGCTCCCCTCACTCCCCCCCTCTCCCATCAGCTCCTCAGAGAGGGTAAGGCCTCCCATAGGAAGTCTACTAAGTCTGTCCCGTCATCTGTTGAGGCAGGACCAAGGCACCTCTCCACCCACATACTCCATCTAGGCTAAGCAAGGTGTCTCTCCATATCGAATGTGCTCCGCTAAGTCAGTCTGTGCATTAGTGTTAGGAGTGGGATCCACACTGCCAGTGGCCTTATAAATTGCTCCAGCCACACCACTGTCACCTCTATTAAGGGAGTCTAGTTCAATCTTATTCAGGTTCTCCATTTGTCAGACCTGAGTCAGTGATTCTGTGGGTTTCCCAAACATGGTCTTGACTCCTTTGTTCATATTTTTGTTCCTCCCTCACTTCAGTTATACTCCAAAAGCTTGGCCCATTGATTAGTTGTGGATTTCTGCATTGATTCTGTCTGTTTGTCGAAGAGGGTTCAAGCTTAACTGGAGTTAAGGACTTTAGTCTGGGTATCTTTTGCTTTATGTCTAGTATCCACTTATAAGTAAGTACATATACTATATTTGTCTTTCTGGTTTTGGGTTACCTCACCTAGGCTGGACTTTCCTAGCTCTGTGCATTTGCCTGTGAATTTTAGGATGTCACTGTTTCTTACCACTGAGTAGTACTCCATTGTGCAAATGTGCCACATTTTCTTTATCCACTCTTCAGTTGAGGGGCATCTAGGCTGTTTCCAAGATCTGGCTATTACAAATAATGTTGCTATGAACATAGATGAGCAAATGTCCTTGTGGTGTGAATGTACCTCCGTTGGGTATATGCCCAACAGTGGTACTGCAGGGTCTTGAGGTAAGTTGATCCCTACTTTTATGAGAAATCGCCACACTGATTTCCACAGTGGCTGTATAAGTTTGCACTCCCACCAGCAATGGAGGAGTGTTCCCCTTTCTCCACATCCTCTCCAGCATAAGCTGTCATTGGTGTTTTTGACCTTAGCCATTCTGAGCAGTGTAAGATGGGATCTCAAAGTGGTTTTGATTTGCATTTCCCTGATGATTAAGGATGTTGAGCATTTCCTTAAGTGTCTTTCTCTTTTGAGATTGTTCTGTTGAGAATTCTCTATTTAGATCTATACCCTATTTTTAATTGGATTCTTTTGTAGTTTGATGTCTAGTTTCTTGAGTACTTTGTATATTTTAGAGATCAATTCTCTGTACGATGTGTGGTTGGTGAAGATCTTTTCCCATTCTGTAGGGAGCTGTTTTGTCTTGTTGACCATATTCTTTGCTTTATAGAAGCTTCTCAGAGTCTGTGCTACTGATGTTCTATTTAAGAAGTGGTCTCCTGAGCCTATGCATTGAAATGTATTTCCCACTTTCTCTTCTACGAGCTTTAGTGTGGATGGATTTATATTGAGTTCTTGAATCCATTTGGACTTGAGTTTTGCGCATGGTGATAGAAATGGATCTATGCATTATTCTACATGTTGACAGCCAGTTAGTTATACCAGTACCATTTTTGAATATATTTTCTGTTTTCCATTTTATATTTTTAATTTCTTTATCAAAAATTAGGTGTTCATAGGTGTGTGAGTTGATATCAGTCTCTTCAATTTGATTCTATTGGTCCATCTGTCTCTTTTTATGCCAATACCAAGCTGTTTGAATTACTATAGTTCTATAGTAGAGCTTGAAGTCAGGGATGGTGATGCCCCAAGATGATCCTTTATTGTACAGGATAGTTTTGGCTGTCTTGGGTTTTGCTTTGTTTTATTTTTCCATATGAAGTTGAGTGTTGCTCTTTAGAGGTCTGTGAAGAATTGTGCTGAGATTTTGATGGGGATTGCATTGAATCTGTAGATTACTTTTGGTAGGATTGCCATTTTTACTATGTTGATCCTACCTATCCAAGGTCATGAGAGATCTTTCCATTTTCTGATACCTTTTTAAATTTCTTTCTTTAAATACTTGAAGTTCTTGTCATACAGGTCTTTTGCTTGTTTAGTTAGAGTTACCCCAAGATATTTTATGATATTTATGGCTGTTGTGAAGGGTGATATTTCTCTGATTTCCTTCTCAGTCCATTTTTCATCTGTCTATAGGAGGGATACTGATTTTTTAGTTAATCTTGTACCCTGCTGGAAGGTGTTCATCAGTTATAGGAGTTCTCTGGTAGAAATTTTGGGATCACTTATGTATACTATCATATCATCAGCAAATAGTGACAATTGGACTTCTTTTCCAATTTGTATACCTCCTACTGTTATAGATAGAATTTCAAGTACTATGTTGAATAGATAAGGAGAGAGTGGACAGCCTTGTCTTGTTCCTGATTGTAGTGGAATTGCTTTGAGTTTTTCTCCATTTAGTTTGATGTTGGTTGTTGGGTTACTGTATATTGCCTTTAACATGTTTAGGTATGTCTCCAAGACCTTTATCAGGAAGGGGTGTTGAATTGTGTCGAAGGCTTGGTCAGCATCTAGGGAGATGATCATGTGGGGTTTTTTCTTTCAGTTTGTTTACATGGTGGATTACATTGACAGATTTTCATATGTTGAACCATCCTTGCATCTCTGGAATGGCACCTACTTGGTCATGGTGGATGATTTTTCTGATGTGTTCTTGGATTTGGTTTACCGGTATTTCATTGAGTATCTTTGCATCTATGTTCATAAGAGAAATTGTTCTGTAATTCTCTTTCTTAATTCTGTCTTTGTGTGATTTGGGTATTAGGGTAACTGTAACCTCATAAAGAATTTGGCAGCATTCCTTCTGTTTCTATCATGTGGAACAATTTGAGGAGAATTGGTCTTAGCTCTTCTTTGAATTTCTGGTGGAATTCTACACTGAATACATATGGGCCTGGGATTATTTTGGTTGGGAAACTGTTGATAGCTGTTTCTATTTCCTTAGAGGTTATAGATGTATAAGTTGCCTATTTATTCTTGATTTAATTTTGGTATGTGGTACTTATCTAGAAAATTGTCCATTTGTGGAGTACAGGTTTTTGAAGTATGAACTAATAATTATCTGGATTTCCTCAGTGTCTGTTGTTATGTCCCCCTTTTCATTTATGATTTTGTTAATTTTGGTATTCTCTCTCTGCCTTTTGGTTAATTTGGATAAAGGTTTGTCTATTTGTTGAATTTCTCAAAGAACCAACTCTTTATCTCATTGATTCTTTGTATTGTTTTCTTCGTTTCTATTTTATTGATTTCAGTTCTCAGCTTGACTATTCCTTGCCATCTACTCCTTCTGGGTGAGTTTGCTTCTTTTTGTTCTGGTGCTTTCAGTTGTTCTGTTAATTCTCTAGTGTGGGATTTTCCCAGCTTCTTTATGTAGTTCTTTCCTCTCAGCACTGCTTTCATTGTGTTTCATAAGTTTGGGTATGTTATGTTGTGAGGTCATTTTCACTAAATTTTAGGAAGTCTTTTATTTCTTTATTTCTTCCTTGACTCAATGGTTCAGTTGATGATTGCTCAATTTCCATGTGTTTGTGGGCTTTCTGAAATTAATGTTGCTGTTGAATTCTAACTTTAAGCTGTGGTGATCTAATAGGGTACGGGGGTTTATTCCAATTTTTTTGTATCTGCTGAGGTTTACTTTGTTACCAAGCATGTGGTTGATTTTTGAGAAGGTTCCATGAGGTGCTGAAAAGAAAGTATATTCTTTTGTGTTTTGGTGGAATGTTTTATAGTTGTCTGTTAAGCCCATTTGAGTCATAACCTCTGGTGGTTCCCTTATTTGTTAAGCTTCTGTCTGGCAGATCTGTCCAGTGGTGAGAGTGGGGTGTTGAAGTCTCCCCCTATTAGTGTGTGGGGCTTGACTTGTGATTTAAGCTTTGGTAATGTTTCTTTTACAAATGCAGAAGCCTTGTGTTTGTGGCATAGATGGTCAGAATTGAGATTTCCTCTTGATAGAGTTTTCCTGTGAGGAATATGAAATACCCTTCTTTATCTTTTTTTGATTGATTTTAGTTTGAAGTCTATTTTGTTAGATATTAGGATAGCTACACCAGCTTGTTTCTTAGTTCATTTGACTGGAATTTTTTTCCCAACCCTTCACTCTGAGGTAATATCTGTCTGTGTGTTTGAGGTGTGTTTCTTGTATGTAGCAAAAGGATGGATTCTGTTTTCGTATCCAATCTGTTAGCCTGTGTCTTTTTATAGGTGAATTGAGACCATTTATATTAATGGATATTAGTGACCAGTGACTGCTGGTTCCTGTTATTTTTGTCTTTGGTGGTGGTGATGGCATTGTGTGTTCAGTTCCCTTCTTTGGGATTTGTTGCTGTAAGCTCATCTATTTCCTGTGTTCTCGTGGCTGTAGGTGATTTCCTTGGACTGCCATTTTCCTTCTAGGCTTTCTGTAAGGCTGTATTTGTGGATAGATATGTTTAAGTTTGGTTTTATCATGAAATATCTTGTTTTATCCATCTAAGGTTATTGAAAGCTTTACTGGATAAAGTAGTCTGAGCTGGCATCCGTGGTCCCTTAGTGTCACATAACATCTGACCAGTACCTTCTGGCTTTCATTATTTCCATTGATAAATCAGGTGTAATTGTGATAGGTCTGTCTTTATATGTTACCTGGCTTTTCTCCTTTGCAGTTCTTAATATTCTTTCTTTATTATATATGTTTATTGTTTTGATTATTATGTGGTGAGGGAACTTTTTTTGGTCCAGTCTATTTGGT